GTCTAACACTGTTCCAAGTCTCTGCAGTCCCCCCAGCCGGGGGCCGGGGGCTGGAGCCCCCCCAGGGGAGCTCCTGCTCTCTCTCCTCGTGGTCTTACAACATGGCTACCACTTCTATCACCAAACTATCACTACAACTAACTTCTCTTCCGTTTGCTTGTGGTATGTTTATATTTCGCAGGAGCGCAGATTGGTTCAAATCTCCAGTATCACCACCCCCTGGGGGTTACCACTTTCTTAGCTTCAGGGGGAAAACCTGGTTCAAACCACTACACATACACTTCTGTGTCATTGCCTGGCCATGGTGAGCTTAAGGTTTGCCAGAGGCCAGAGTGAGGATCAGGAGGAACGTCAGCAGAGCTGGTGCAGAAGTGTAGATGGAGAGGATGAAGTGGGATCGCACATAAGTACCTATAAAGAGCAGAGTGGGAAGGCACACTACTTGGGTGCAAGCATATGACAAGCAATGGACACCATAACAGCATACCCCAAGAAAGGAAAGAACTCTCTTGCTCTTGCACTGACATTGGGGCACGCATGACACAAGCTAACAAATCCACCCTCAATGTTATGCCAGTGGGATCCTTGTTGGAGTAGAATGCAGCATTGCAGAGAGGGTTAGCTGCAACTATCTCGGCATCATTAGCATCAGATGTTGTTCCTTCTGGGATCTTCAGCCTGAACCCAGATACCGAGCTCTGCTGTCTTCAGAAAACAGCCTATATTTACCACTTTGACTCTTACTTGCATTAACCTGTTTTTGCCTTTGCAACTGAGCAAAGTTGTCAAGAGTTTATTTGCAATCAGTAAGCGAAGATGCCAGATGTTTGGCAGCTTTATGCCACTGAAAAAAAAAGAGTTGAATAGGCTTTATAAAACATGGAAGCAAAGTTAGTATCAAAACCAAAGAGTTTAGGTTGATGCTGACTCCATGAACTGTCCCTGCTGGCAGGTGGATGGTGATTCACAGCAACAGCTCTGTACGTGCACGTGCTGTTTGAGGCAAGCTGCTCAGGGGGTAATGATAAAAAGCAGGCAATGCTATCTCTTGCACAGCAAGAAAGGGGCATCCATGTTTATTCTACTGCATAATAAGTTCAGAGAAGAACATCCCAACTTTGGAGCAACTTGGGTCTCTGTGTTAAGGTGTCTGTTCGCTCTGCATCAGCAAGGACACAGGTATTTCCCAGTAGTTGTGATTCATAAGGGGCAGGGTAGAAAGAAGCTGACTATCTCTTAGAAGCAGGTGACTCTCTCTGGGGTACCAATTACTGTAGATGCAGCAGGCAAGCCTTGCTCTTTTACTGTGCTGGCAGCCTTCAGATCAGATCATCCCAAGGAACAGCCACAAGCCAGTTTCAGTGTCTGTCTACAACAGCAGGAGAGAGGAAGAAAATTAGGTTAGCTATCCATTTTGCCAACTAAGGCAATTTTCAGCACTGTGTTTCAAGACATTCAAAAAAAAGAAAAAACAACCATATCTATAATACTTAAATGCCATCTAGTGGTAAAAGCTAGTTTCTTTTAACATTTTTGATTTACAGAGAAACACAAGTGGAAAAGGACCACTGTGTGAAGTCATAGTTAGACCTACTTGGATTTTCTGATTTCACATTCTTACCCTTGAATGTCTCAAGGTCAAGAGCTTTAGAATATTGGAAATATGTTCACAGGGCTCAAACTCTGCAGTGCTGTGTGCTGTGATGTCTCACTTTCCAGTGCCTCAACATGGGAGTAGGATCCCTAGCTGCAAGTTGAGGAACCTACTGCAAGTCGCAGTAGGACAATAGGTAAGTCTATTACATGCAGTTGGTCTCCGAGTGATGCCAGAAGCCTTGGGATGCTGGGAAGGGAGATGGCTACCCGTGGTGCAGGGACAAAAGGACTCTCAAATGCAGAAACTTAAAAGCCATCTTAATACTGCTATCTTAAAACTGGTTCAAAGTTGCTGCAGCAGGATTGTAGCAAGCAGTACCAAGCAAAGCACTCAGATATAGTTGACTGATTCTATATAAAGTACACAGGATTATCAGCATTCAGCTTACAAATCACGAGGAATCTGAAATCACCATGTTTAAGCTCACTTTTACACACATGTAATCACACTCGCAGAAGCCTTTAACATCTCAGAGGTGGGACAAAGCAATTTTCACAAGACCATGAAGACTGTGACGGCAAAGATGGCGTCAGGCACCCCTCCATCTCTTTGCACTGTCTCTCAGGAGAAGGAGGAACCTGGAAAAAGCCATAGATGAGGACAACATCCTCCACTGGGGTAGAGGAATGAGGCAGGGAGAGCCAGGCACACTGGGCCGGCAAATGTCCCTGCAACTCATGGTTGTTCCTGCATGACAGCAGCCTGGCGAAACACCAGGCAGTCATAGACCTCTGCCTCCTCACCCTCTCTACATTTCTTTCATGCAGGTTTGGGCTTATGATAGCTGCACAGTGAGGAGAGCTCTCCTAGAGACAATGCCCTTAGCCAGACAGTCTGTGTTTCAACAGCCTTGATGTCCACACTTCCTACAAGCCATTTCATCTTCCTTCTACGATCCTCCATCCTTTGGTGGCAAATGCTCCTGCAATCAAAGTCCTCTCCTCCTTTTAGTACAGAAGGTGCAGGAGCTAGGCATCTGCTTTTGTCTAGCTGGACTGCGATGCCACCTATACTTGCAAGAGTAACTACCCCACCCCAGAGGATCAAGGAAGAGTATGCACGGGGTAGTTCAACAGCAGCTGATCAGACCATGTCGAGGGCTCACCAAGAACACGGGCAGGAAAGGGGCATATTCAGAGGCACTGACAGGTTGGTGGCAGGGATACTCATCACCTCCCTCCTCTCCATTTTCATCTGTTGCAAACCTTTAGGAACATGTAGTGTTTGAAGTGCTGGCATCCTTTTTCACCCTCTTTTCCCTGCTTAAGCTCTAAAATCCATTAGTTTTACAATTGAATACTAAACTTGTAGGCCAAAGGCCTCAGATTAGGCCAATCTTTTAAAAAGAAGAGTGTGATTCCCTGAAGTTAATACAAGGCAGTGGATAAAATCTTCGCTCTTTCAAGAAGTATCTTCCTCAAACTCAGGTCTTTGTTTACTTATACACATTAAGTAAAACTGTCTTCATTCAAACAGAAGCATGACCCAAAATGAAACACTTTTTGATACAGACAATACACTGCCTCAATTGATGAGATGTACCTTTCCAATGAGAAACTACATAGGGGCAAAATTGAGGTCTGAAACTGTATTATTTGTTGTAATATCTCTTAGAACCCTGAGTCCACACTACAGCTTTACTCTCTTTTACCAAATGCTTAAAGAAGACAAACTGCAGGTATTTTTTGTCCATTTCCTTTTAGTCAGACAGCAATAGATGAAGATTTGCCTCTTGCCTGCTCACGTAGGCCCCCCCTCCAGAGTTCAGGCATTTGATTCTGGTAGTTTCCAATCAGAACAGTAATTAATGAGGGGCGCATAAGTGCATGACTTTGCAGTGAACAGTAGCATTCCTACTAAATTAACACTGCAACCCTCTGTGATTTTTGAATTCACTTGTCTTTGGACTTCCTTTTTACTGGAAGTGGGTCATTATTTCAGTGGCTACAAGGAAGATAAACATAGCACTACCCCAGATTCTAATTCCCAGACTGAAAGTGGTATATTATCAGTTCTCTGCAACAGCTACACAAGGTTCAAGCTTGTGCTGACTGAGGTCTAACCCAAAACCTATTTGTACTCCCATGTTGCTGCCAAGTTTTAGTAAATAACAGCATGAGGCCAAACTAAAAACATTCTGAAGGACCTAGATAGATTGCAGTGACAAAAATAATCACTAATTTGATGCTGAGACTAAAGTTTGACAGGAAATAAGCCAACCCCTTGTATTTGGCAGCCAAAACTCAGGCCACAGAAGTACAGGTACAACTTTGTGTCTGCACCATGACACACTGCACACTTTAAAGCCTCCTGCCTTTGGAGACTCTTTCAGCATAGTAAGCAACTGCAACCAAGGAAAAGTCAAAATAATAATTAAAAAGCTGTATTTCATATATACATATGTGAAATATATTCAAAATATATGCATGTATCTGAAATATATACGTCACTTCTAGCAATCAGGTGAAAACCTCCTCTAAAGGTGGTGCACCATTCAGGACATACCTGCTAGCAGACATAGATGCCCATGTATGCAATACATTCACTACTGTCAGATCTAAAAACTATTATCTAAAAACCACAACCTTCTATGATGTATTTCTCGTTTCTGGAGCCAAGCACGAAAGTGACAAAGCATATCACACAGTTAACAACTGAAAAGCATTGTGGTCATCAGAGACAAAGTTCACCTCAGAAAATGAAGCCTGCGAGATGAAGGGTTAAAAATTATGATGCTGAAATGGGGCTGTGGGGGAAAACCCAAAAAACTTCAGCAGCTGCCTCTAGAAATCCCAGCAACAAAAATTTACACAGGGCTGCAGCGCTGCAGTTCTCAGCACTGACAGCAGCCTCGAATGCTGCTTAAATGGTTCCAACTGCAACGCCCAGGGCATTTCCAGCTAGGATATGATGTACCTTGCTACTCTCAGAAAGCTTCTTCCCCGTCCCCCCCCAGAATAAAAGCATCAAAAAAACAAAACAAAAAAGTGACGTACTTTAAAGTTTTTTATAAAAGTACATGCTACAATTACTCTTCGCTCTGTTATATTCTACAGGTGAGGCCTCGAGGCCCACCACCACCAGCAAACTCCGCCTGGCGCGACCAAGTGCGGGCACTAGTGGAGGTCGGTAAGAGACTGGAGCGCTTCGGGCCCCGAGCTCACAGACCGCCTCTCTTTGGGGGCTGCTGCTCCCCCTTCAGCTTTCCTTCGGCGTTGCCTCCCCGGCACAACAGTCCCGGCCCCTCCCGCCTGTGCCGCGCGCACATGCACTTCCGCTGCCGCGGCGTGCCGCTTCCGGCTGTCCCTGGTCGCGTTCCGGGTTGCGCGCGCGCTCCCGCCGCGCGGGCCTGTCCCTCGCGCGCCCGGCGGGACAGCGTTCGGTGCGCGTGCGGTGCACGCCCTCCGCCGCTTCCGCCCCGCGCCCGGGGGGCCATGGCCGGGGCCGGCGGGACGGGCCAGTACAGCCACTGCCACAGCGCCGCGGGACGGGTGGCGGGCGAGCGCTGAGCGGGGGGCGCTGAGCGGCAGGCGGGAGGGCGGTCATGGCCTCCCCGCCGGCCGGCGAGTGCCAGGCGGACTCGGACGAGCAGGCGGCGGCGCTGCAGGCGGATCTGGGCGAGTGCCGGGCACAGCTGGAGCGGGCGCGGCGGCGGCTGCGCCGCACCCAGCGCCTGTACCGCCGGGCGCGGGAGGACAGCGAGGCCTTGCAGAGACGGGTAGGGCCCCCACGCCCCGAAACCACAGCCCCAGGCCCTGCCGTTCTCTGCGGCCCCTCGGCCTCCTCTCCGCCAGCCCCCTCCGCCCGGTCCCGCGCTTCCCGGAGACCGCCGGGCTCTCCCGGCTCGCGGGAGACCAATGCCACGGTGGGGTCCCGAGTCAGCGGCGGCGGTGGTGGGGAGAACGGTGTTGCCTTCTCTGCCACAGAGCTGGCTTCGCAGTCAGAAGGGAAAACTACATTTAGCAGAAGGAAACATGTTTATTAAGGAAGGTGTGAGGTAGAGTGGGAAAACTACCCCACAGATTCTTACGGCCAAATAGGCAAGTTTGGGAGAGACTCATATCACAGCCTACAGCTTCCGTCCAGAGAGGATGGGCAGGCACTGATCCCTCCTCTGTGTGTGACCAGTGACAGGACCTGATGGAATGGCCTGAAATTGTGTCAGGGGAGGTTTAGATTGGAAATCAGGAAAAGGTTTTTCACCCAGACAGTGGTTGGGCACTGGAACAGGCTCCCCAAGGAAGTGGTCACAGCACCAAGCCTGACAGAGTTCAAGAAGCATTTGGACAATGGTCTCAGGCACATGGTGTGATTCTTGGGGATGGTTCTGTACAGGGTCAGGAGTTGGACTCGATGATCCTTGTGGGTCCCTTCCAGTTCAGAATATTCTGCAAGTCTGGGATTTGTAAATGCCACAGTACATCAACACAGAACAGTGGCTATTGCTTGAAATCTGACTTTACAGGGTGGGCATCGTAGGAGTAACTTCGGTTAAGTTTCTCTGCTCCCTTTGTGATCAGAAACTAAGTTTTCCGTTATGCCAACTATTCAAGTACAAAATTGTCTCCTACCAAACAAAATCAGTTGAAATGTCTGTGATGCCATTATGTTTTGGTTGAATTATGGAATGCAAAATAGGCTGATGCTCTTTTCTGGTGCACTAAAATGCAGTATTGGGTTCTGTAACATACTGTTTTTCTTTCAGGTAGAAGAACTCACTGAGGAAATCCATAATAGGAAGGAGAAAGATACATCTAGCGTAGAAGTACAGACAGAGGACTATGCTGTGTGGTCACAAGCAGGTAGAGAGGCTGGCTGGTGACTGTTTAAACAGGGATCTGGAACAGCATCTTAATACATTTCAAGTCTGTATGTTCTGCTGAATTACACTTAGTAACCTGGCATTATCTTTCAGACCAGTTCCTTTTTTTTTCAAGCCATTTGTTCAGGATAAAATGTAGCATGGACTAGCAGAATGCCATAATAATCTGTTATGTAGTAATCTTATATGTTACAAACATAGGTGTTTTACCAATTTTTAAAGTACATTAAAATAAGACATAATTTGTTCACTAGGAGTAGAATAAATTCAAAGCAGAGGCACTACTTAATAGAGGCACTGTTTAATTTTCATTAGATTACTTACTTGTGTAAATCTCCAGTTTAAGATTTAGCATCCTTAAACTGCATTAGTAAAATATTGCTTTGCTAGTTTACGCAATTTCAACTTTTCCTTCTCCCCTCCCCCCAGATTATTACTACTATGAAAATTATTACAATCACACCGATACTCAAGATTTTGCATCTGAACTACCAGTGCAGCACAATCCTGGGACTGAAGGCAATGAGGATAATGCCACAGAGGAATCGAGGACAGGTCTTAATATTCCTCTAAGAGTGGATAGCACCAAAGTTGCTGAAGATGGAGAAGAGGCAAATTTCATCCAGAATTTACAGGTTTTTGAGCTGTCTGGGGTTTTACCAGTTTTGAAGTCAGTACGCTGTTACTATTCCATCTAAAAGATGTGCTTTTGGTCCTGATGTCTTTTTATGAAACAATTTTTCATAATAGTCTGGTGCTGGTGTTAGCAGACTTGTACTTCAAAACTAGTTCTTTTTGTAGTATGTTCCAAGTGTAGCATATTCCTAGAGTTGGGATTTGGTATTTCGTTTATTTTTTTAAAAAGGCATATATATCCTACATAGCCTGGAAGCAGGACCTGGAAGCAGAGTATGTTCAATATGGCCATGCTGACTTTCTTAAATAGTACTTTTTATTTTTATTTCCATTGATGTAAGGAGGCAACGTTTAAGGAGAAGTAAGTTGTTGGTGGAGTTTATTTATTTATTTTGCTGTGGGTTGGCTTTCTTCTCTGCTGTACAGCCTTCTCTTAGGTCACTCAACTGAGTTTGTGCCTTAGCATCTAGCAACAGAAGTGGGACAGAGAGCAGAAATCTGTTTTAGGAATGCACTGAAAGATACTCACTGTGTGTATTTTTTATGTGAACCACTCTGAATAAAGATGGGGGAAAACGAAAGACACAGGATAAAGTCTCGGTCCCGTTGAAATCAGTAGGAGCTTATCAGTAAATCGCAGCCAAATTTTTGCCTTCTGAAACAGTCCCAAGTTCACAGAGCAGTTTCTTTCTAGAAGAAAATTTAATCTCTTATTTTCTGGTATCAGGAGGCAGAAGATACTTCAGTACCAGAGGGTTCTTTGGCAGAGAGCTTGAGAGCTGCTGCAGAGGCAGCTGTTTCACAAACTGGATTTACTTATGATGAAAATACAGGATTGTATTATGACCACAGCACTGGATTCTATTATAATTCGGTAAGGATCATTTCCAAAATCCTTGGCATTTTTTCTCTATTGCAAAAGTTTTATTAGTAAAAGTTGATGTGAGCAAAAAACTAAGATCCAAGGTTTTATGTTTTGAAAAACAGGTTTTTGAAGATTAATAGTATTGGCCGTTTGTTAATTAATTTTTTTATTATTTCAGTCAAATTAAAGATAGCAGGCTAAGATCTCCTTAGATCTTTAAGTTACTTAGCATTGTAGAAATTTTTTACTATAAAGCTGACCTGTAACTCTCTCAAAAGCTTCAGTTAAAAGATGACTTGTTTACAGGTTGCTGAACTAAGTGGCTCCTCCACAGTGAAAAGAGTGCTGAGAGAAGATACACCGAATGCTTGTACTTTTACTTGTACAGCGTTACCAATTAGTTTAATGTTATAGGAAAGAAAATACTTCTTTAAAAAAAGGAGATAGGTGATGGATCAGAATTTCTTAATGTTACTTTCTGCTATATGTTTTTCATAAAAGCTTTTGAGGATGTTTTCTTTCTGTCCTGTAAGGTGTGTGTATATGTATACACATCTAGATAGATACATATACTGTCAAAAATTCCAGGGAGCTTCTGTGCTTAAAACAGAGGATTTGTTTGCAGCACTGCATTCAACTAAGTTTTAAAAAATGCATATGATACGCAACTGCTTGTTTTCAGGAATGCTTCTGAATTTAATTTTTAAGGTTTTAAATTATACCATTGCTTTTGAAATAGTTTGTGGATTTAGTTAGATACATAAGTGTTTGGGACTATAGATTACAGTGGTACAATTACACAAGGCAATTCTTGTTCAGTAACTGTTCTGAATTACAGGAAATGTTCTTGTATTGGGTTTACTGGCAAGGTTTTGATAGTGAGGCTTGGGACTGCAGAGGCAGCCTGTGTGAGAAGAGGCCAAGGACTGCCTGGACACGGCTGGTTGCACTGCAGGGCACAGCTGAGCCTTTAGAGGACCTGGTGGTGCCTCTCTGAAAGCATGTGTAAGAAAGGGCAAAACACAGTGGGCTGTGTATGGGGAGGATGAGTGTGAAAAACAATCCTGCAAACATCAAGGTCAAAGAATAAGGATTCTCCTCTTCCTCTGTAGAAGAGGACCACACTGGAGCAGATATTCACACTGCAGTCCATGGAGAACCCGACACAGAAGCAGCTCCTTAAGGGACTGCGGCCTGTGGAGAGCCCATGCCAGAGCCCAGAGCAGGTTTCCCTGACAGGAGCTGTGGCCTGTGGAGGACCCGTACTTGAAGCAGGAAGTAGCAGCAGAGAGGGACTTTTTGGAGCTGATCTCAGCCCCCTACTCCTCATTTCCCCATACCATGCATGTGGTAGAGGACCTGGGAATGAAAGGGCTTAGTAGAAGTAGTGTAAAAAGAGACAGGGAGAGATGTTTTTTATTTGCTCCTCATCTTCCAGCTCTGTTTTAACTGGCAGTAAATAACCCGTTTTCACCAAGTTGAATCTGGCTTGTCCATGATAGTGATCTCTGTCTTGACCTATGAGCTTTTCATCTTATTTTCTTTCCCACTGTTGTTGAGAAGGGAGATTGAATGAGTGGTTGGAGGGGCACCTGGTAGCCATCCAGGATCAAGCCGCTACAGTTCTTTGAGTACATTTTATTAAACTGCAAATGTGGTTCTTTCTTAACAAGGTGTTTCTTTGAACAGTGTATTTATTTGAAGTGATGATTACACTGTTCTTCATTTCTTATAAAGGAAAATCAACTGTATTATGACCCAACAACTGGAATTTATTACTACTGTGATGTGGAAAGCGGACGATACCAGTTTCATTCACGAGTGGATCTGCAGTCTTACCAGGCCTCTGGTACTAAGCACACCAAGGATAAAAAAGGGAAAAAGAAGAGAAAAGAACCAGAGAGGATTACTGCAGATGAATATAAGGTAACTTCAGAACTGACGGACAGAAAATGCAAAACTTGTTGTTTTTTTTTCCATTACATAATTTATAGGTTAAGGGGCTTGGTTTTGTGCAGAAGGTGTGTGCTTATTTTCAAACTGTTTAAACGTATTTAAACTACATATAACAGGTTGCTAACATGTAGTTAGTGTTCAAATAACTTTCTCCTTGAGTGATTAAGGATGAAACTTTTAACTTGGATCCTCTCAGTTTTTCAAGACTCTTTTATTGCAATGCAACTGTAAAGAAGTCTAATATCGAGTGTCAGTGAAGTTTTCTGATAACCAGCACACTAGAATGAGTTCAAGGTGCTGGGCTGGCTGGATTTACATCAAAAATTCAGTGTTAACCTCAGTGGGTTTTGGGGTCTTGGCTTGTGGTTTGTTCTTTTTGTTTGTGTTTTTTTTCAGGTTCACATGATGAATCAAAAAATGTAAATTTTGAAAATCCACTGACATAAATAACCCTTTTTCTGTGACTGTATTCCAAAGTTCATTCCATTGGCATATTACTGTATCTCTACTATCATTTGGGATTGAGGAAATGTCTTTAAAGTTCTAATTTGTTGCATACTGTGCTTTGCTATTGATACCCTGTTTGGTCAATACATTTTCATTGTCCTTAGGGTGTGGATAAGCTTAATAAATGCCCATTGCAATTAATTGGTATTTTAAGTTATGAAAAGCACGACTTCCTTTCTGTCGTTTTTCTGAGTGCTAAGAAGGCATACCATATAGTATGTACTTAGTGAATGCCTTGAAAAATTTTACTCACTCCTAGACATCAGGAAGTTCTATTATAACAGTTATTAAACCTCAAGAAGTATTTCCTTCATGAACACTCTTACTCATGTTGAGTCCTATTCTGCAAATTTGTTTTATTATTTAGGATATAATTGAATATATTGATTTCTCCAGTTTGCAGTGCTACTTGGTTTATGTTTTTTAAAGCTGTTGCTTAAATCAGTGCATAGTTTCATTATGTAGGCCTTAGACAAGCATATTGGTTGAAATCTGAACTAATTACATTATGGTACAGGTACTCTTACATAATAGTTACGCAGCATCTGTGCACAGTTAAAAAATTGTAATCAGGATTGAGGTCTTCTGAAATATTTGAAAATGGAAACTATTTACATTTAAGAACAAGTGCAGTTATGTTAAACGGATAGTGGTTGTTAATGGATTACACCTTTTATAAACAGATTGTGGCTAATGCAGAAATTTCTACTCCTTGAGAGAACTTCGCATGAACCATTCCATTCTGAAAGCTTGAGCTGGACACTTGAGCAACACTAAGTATAAGGATCCTTTAGAATTAAGAGAAGGGAGCTAATGCAGTGGAAGTGCAGTGGAAGTGCAAAGGCATTGTTAACACAGAACTTTATTCATCATGTGTCAGGAAGGGATCATGAAATGCTTGTAGGAATAAGTCTTCATGATAAACTAATTAATAGGTCTCTTAAATTTAGTTCTGTGATGAACTGTTACATATTGACAAGTGTCTTTCTAGAAGTTCTGAGGCATCTATAGCTCTGACCTAGCAAGTAATGTTTTTGGGATCCCATCACAGTCTGCTTCTGTCCTCTGATTTGTCTTTAGCTTATTTTATATCAATAACATATTTTTATTTAGATGGTGTTGTTAACAAATCTTTTGTGTGAGCATTTCATAGTCCCAAGGTAGAAGGTAAACATCCATTTCTGCTTGTGTTTTATTGATGGTGAACTGAGTAATTTATTTTTGAACTAATTTGTTTGACAAATAAGATAATAGGAAAAACATCTAAAGTGTTCTGTAGTGCACAGATCTTTGCATCTGTGAACAGGAAGTGAACGTTAATGACATAGAAGAAAACAAGGCCTTTTTTAATTTTTTAAAAAATGGAGAATACAAAGTGAAACATTAAATATTTTCCATTTCAGACTTCAAAAATAAAAGAATGCCTTTTGTCAGTGCACTTATTTGTAAATGCGCTGTTAGATTTAGAAAAACCAAAGTACCTTACAGTCATATTTTACATAGCTGAGTTAAAATACTTTATTTTTGTAGTGTGGTTATTAATCACATAAGGAATTCCTTGATTATTTAAAAAAAAATGTATGTTACATTAGTATAAAAGATTAAGATTTACCAGAATAAAAGAGTTATATTTTTCTGCTATAAAACTGAAAAAATAGTTTATAAGCTGCACAGTCACATTTGTAGATGCATGATATTTTTTTGGCAATATAATTGTTCAGCTTAGTCTGATATAGACAAAGGCAGTAATTAGTTCATGCTAGAACAAAACTAAAAATGTCTGGTTTTAAGTAGCACTTCATAGTTGAAATGTTGTCTATTGAAATACATTTCTCCACATTTGTATCCAACCTCCTCTCTTTTCTTTCCCTGAATACCATTTAAATTATTAATGTTGTGACAGTTCTTTTCAAGACTAGTACTTCATTATTGCTTTTCCCAGTCAGTTATTAAATTGTGCTGCTAGTGTGAAAAAGGCCTCCAAACATTGCGGCATTTCTTGACCAAAGTAGGTTTTACTCAACTTTCTTTTTCTGTAGCTGGTACAGGTAGGAGAAAGGTTTTGTTTAGTGCCTGGTCTGTGGACCACTGGTAGTGTTAAAAAAGCAATACCAGAGTGTAATTCTGGGAATGTGTCATATACCCACTGAACTTTATTATTCTTGGATGAAGATAAGGTGGTTTATAAGAATATGAATGTGAAGCAGGGGAAAACAGCGAGCAGTAGTTACACACTCTCAAGTACATGAAACACTTTTCTTCCTTTTTCAGTTAAAGGGTTAAATGTTAACCCATACTGATAGATATTTATATTTATTATATTGCCAAAATACAAGAAATAAGGAAATTTAACAGCTGTGTATGTAGATCATCATAGCATATATTTCTATGTAGATGGTACTGATTGCAATCAAATTGCATCTGATTTTTTGAATGCCTTAATTTATACCAGAGTGAATACCTTTTTAATTTAAAAAATATTGTTCCAGTTACAGTCTGTTAACTTTCTGTTTCTGGTCACAGCAGGGGTTTTTAGTTGTGGTTTAATTTCTAGCTATTGTGAAGAATTTGATGTTCTCAGCTGTCTTACATATAGTATCTATTTATAAGTAGTAAATTGGGATGCCTAACCCTACAGAAATGGCAGGTGAATTGTCCACAAATATCGCGGCATTCTTGAAAAAAAACCAATATAATTCTGCAGATGTAAAGGATAAAATTAATCTGTTAAAATGCTATTGTATTTTTAACAGGCTGAATTACCAAACAAGCAAATATTCATAGGCATCTGCTAAAATGAACGTACCTCTAATTGCAAAAAAAAAAAAAAAGAAAAAAAAGGGGAGGGGAATTAACGTGCTTACTATCACCTGAGGAAAGTTCCTAGTCTATACAAGAACTTTCTTTAAAGAGATCCTTTCTTCTCAGTCACCAAGCTTCTCTATTACAAATAGTTTTCTTCTGACTTGTGAAACAAAGTATACTGTCTGCTTGCTTGCTTTTAGTAGACAATCAGGAATTTTTTTTGCCAGGATGAATTATTACATAGCCTCTGTGCAGCTCACATAAAAGGATTGGTAGAATACTTTGAAACTTCTGGGCATATAGTTCAGTTCTGATGTCTTTTCATAGGGGTAGGCCAAAAAAAATCTGGGGCAAGAAACACTGTATTTTCTTCTTTATGAAGAAAACCTTTGAATAAGTAAATTTGGAAAAGTTAAAAAAAAAAAGTGGCATAAATGATAATGTGATCCCTGGCCCAATATCTATATCCAGGGCTTCCATACAAATTGGAGAATAGACTGTATGCAGTAGTGATCATGCGGTTCTACTTGCTGTATTGAGGCCATTAGAAATACATAGCAAAATTTAGAAGCAGGGACTGACACATGCCATTTTTTCCATAAATTGTTTTTAAATTTAAAAATTGTTTGTTTTTAAACTACCACCTACTAAATTTTATTTCAGTATGATGCTCCAAAAAATTAACTTCTGCCATATTCTCTTCCATTATAGATGCATCCTAGCTGCTTCTGTAGGAGAGGCAAAGCTTTTTTAGTAGTATTTCCCATAGAACTCTTGAAGCAGTGGTTTTTACTTTTTTTTATCACATGTAGTTTACTTTTTGCTGATATTCATCCCATCTTTAGGTACGTCAGTTGACAGAAACCACGGCTAATCTGAAGATTTCTTCTTTTGGATTGGCAGCTTCTGGTAAAGGTAGAGTTGAGACAACAAACACATTAGTCCATGGATGTTTACCTTTAACCTTGATATTTTTATTAAAGGAAAAAATAATAACTAGAAACTGATGGTTAGATACCTTTTTTCTGAAGGAATTAACAAGTTTTTTTAAGCTATTTAATCCAAATCCATTCGCCTGCAAACTAACTTTGAAATATATTTGAAATTCTGTGTAAGATAAACATCTGAAGAAAACTTTGATGGCATTCTAGAATATTTGAGAAGAGAAGTATTTAGCATCACTGTATAACATAAAGCATTTGGGCTAAACAAACTACACATTCTTTAGGTAAGGCAGATTTCTGTTTCCTGTATTTCAGAGCAGTCCACCAGTGTATAACATGGCTTCTGTATGATGTAGGAAGAGCTTTACACGTTTTTTTTTCTGGCATTTGATTGGATTTTTTGCATTGGAAAATTGAGTATTGTGTAGGGTGGAAGAGAGTAACTGAAGTACTAGTGAAATGGTGTTAGCAAGTGAAAGCTTAATCATCTGAGTGAAAGAGCTATTTTTAACTGTTTGAAAATGTTTTTTTAGTGAAATACTGAATGTCAGATTAATATTTCAAATTGAGAGAGTCAATGCTAAACATTTACTATTCATCCCTGTAGATGAGTGTTGAGTACCGATGATTCTGTTCAGTCAGCTACTGAACTTATAGCAAACCAAAAAACAACAGACTACATGTTTGTGAAAAATTATATTTGTACATATTTCTATGTTTTGTATAAAACAAATTGAGAAAAAAATAGTTTAAACTGTGCAGTTCTTAGAATTGTTTTAATTTGTAGACATGCTCAAGAATTGCACGAATGTGGATGTTGATCAGGCTTAATACAGAAAAACTGAAGTTTTAAGAGACAAAATGTCTTGCTCTGTCACAGTAAAGCAAAAATTATAGTTAAATGCTTAAAATATTTTGAATTTTTCATTAAAAACACTTAAATAATACTGACATTATATCTAAGTAGGACAGTCTGCGTTTCAAAAGGTCATTGTAATCAGTAGTTTGTGGCCTATTCTTTTTAAAGCAAAACCATCAATTCCACTTGCACAAGCATGATTTGTTATTTTTGTAAGATTGCTTCTCATGGGATACATAAAAATCCTGATTTCATTCGTACCCTTGGCTGACATTGCCAGGGATGCAGAAATGTGAATTGACTTAACTGTAGTTAAAAAATGGTTTACTATCAATCAGATTGATTACACCCTTCAACTTTACTCAAGCTTAGTGAGAAAAATCCCAGAGATCATATACCCAGTAGATAGAAAGTTTTTCAAACCTGGATCATGTAGAGTCAGTCCATGTCCAACATGTGACTATTGGTATCAGTCTACTATTTAGATATATTAGGCAAAGCAACATGCAAAGGAACATATGTGCCTAATATCATGGTGTAACAAACATGGTTATAAATAAGCATGTACTTGCATCCTTTGTGTCTTGTAAGTTTGGGATGAAGAGTTAAAGTAATCGAGAAATGAAGTGCATTGCTAGAATGTATTGGGTTGTTCAGTGTTTACTGCCAGTTCCTGGTTTTGAAGCAGTGACTATATGGAAGCAAGGTATTAGGTGCTGTTTGCCTAGTCACACTTTAATATATGCTGCATGTGTTCAATGTTAGTACTAGTACTCTGTCGTGGTTTGACCCCAGGCAGCTGCTCGCTCAGTCCACCACCAGCAGGATTGCAGAGAGAATTGGAAAGGTAGAAGTAAGAAAATTTATGGGTTGAGATACAGCAGAAGCCGTGCACACAAGCAAAGGAAAATAAGAAATTAATTCACTGCTTCTCTTGAGCAGGCAGGTGTTTAGCCATCCCAGGAAAGCTGGGCTCCTGCACTGATAATGATTACTGGGGAGAACAAAGGCTTTAATTCCCAACATCTTCCCAGTTCCTTCTCCTTTTCCCAGCTTTTATTGCTGAGCATGATGCCAAATGGCATGGGATATCCCTGTGGATAGTTGGGGTCAGCTATCCCAGCTGTGTTGCCTCCCAGCCTCCATTCTGGCAGAGTGGAGCAATAACAAAAACATATCTATGTTATCAGTGCTGTTTCCTGCACAAATCCAAAACACAGCCCCACAGTAGCCACTGTGAAGAAAATTAGCTCTACCCTAGCCAAAACCAGTACATAGTCATACATAATGGAAAAGGATTTCTTCACCACAGTTAAAGGCCTCTCAAATGCTTTAAGATACATTCAGTATCAGTTTATAAACTTCATCAAGATGTGTATTTTAATGCAAATCTGTGAAATCTTGAAGTGCTCAAAATCCATATTCAATTCAAAATCCAATTTTAAAATCCTCAGTTTTGTACAAGGATTTCTAAATGTAAAGATTGCATTTTTATCACTACTTAACAGTACTATTTAATTTATTTGCTTTCTTGAACGTAGTTCAGGAAACGTAGTTGAACATAGCAATTGTGGAAAAATACGGAAACTGCTGAGAATAGGCTTAATGGTCACATTGGCAAAATCATAGAATGAATGTACGTATGGACTCTGTGGTCTGTTTATTAGAGTGTTTTTAAAAATTACTGTTTTCAACACAGAACTGAGAGTCTTCTCTTTAGTAGCCAGGCTTTGAAACTGCACCTTTTTACTTTATAATTTAAAATATCTGAAGTGATACCAAAAATGAGTATCACTGGATTCACTGTGGAGAAGGAGCTGAGTGGTTGAAGCATTGTTCTTGGGCATTAGTGCATCATAGTCATCGGTTGTTTTGCCTCAACTGTGATTTGAGTGGACCATTTAGTTTCTCTGTTTTCAGATTAGATTAGATTAGAATACTCTAAGTTACTTTGTTAGTTTACATTTAGGATTGCAGAACACTTTGGTATGTTTGGTATCAATCCAGTATCCATACCAAACATAAATATAGACAAATATTAATATACTGAAAAATATAATTCATAAAAGGAAAAATCAAATTTTCCAAAAATATTTCTAGTGGAATTTATGTGTTTGACATGAATGAACTGTGTAGTCTTACTTTTGGCAGGATTACTATATCTTTTGTTTAAAATAAACAATGTTACACAGCAGCATTGTAATCCTATTCCTTCCTATTCCAGGACTTAGAGAATTCAGGAAAGGGCCACTGCGGTATGGAGAAACCCTAAACAAATAGTCTCTCACTTAAAACATGAAATATTTTTAAAATTGCTGATTTTTCCTGAGAATCTGCTGTCTTACTAAACATGTTTCAAAAGTACACTGTCCTATCCAACAGTTGAGGCGAATTCTTGTGTTTGTCTTACGTCTGTGGCACTGATGTGTTTTTACAGTTCTGAAAGTGAAAGTGCTTTAATTGCCATGATGTTGGCATTCACATTATTTCACGTGTCTTGGAATGAAAAATGCTCTTTCGTGGAAATACACAAAAAGATCAAGGATGTATTTTTTTAACTGCTGTGTTGCAATATTTGATACAATTCAGAGTAATTGAATGTATTCATTCTGAACTCAAAATGTCCCATAACTTAAAATTTGAAATTTTATTTAGCTTTTAAAGCCACTTGTGTTCTTTTTTTTTTTTTTTCATTTTTTTCTTTTTATTTCCTTTTTTTTTTTTGAGATAGTTGTCAGGCTGTTTCTTTCTGCTGATGAAATAAGTGGCAGTGGAAGCACCTGCAGTGATCCAGTCTGTCTGATATTCAGTAAAGAAATGGAGAAATTTTTTTGCAGTAGAAAATGGATTTTCATTAGAACTGTTTTGCATAGCATTAATTAAGCTTATAGTCTCTATCTCTTATCTTGATTAAAGGTTTTGTTAGAGATGCAGTTTTGAAAGGAGAAAGAACAGGTCATTAGGGAAGCATAAGTGGGCATTCCAGATATTCTGGACCATGGTAGAAAAAAAATGAGAAGACAAAAACAGGAGGAAGATACGATGAAGATAAACTAAGGAACTTCTAAGCAAGTTGCAAGAGTTGAGTAAGAGAGGGACAGAAGTGAGTGTCATAAAAGCAAAATATGAAAATATTCAAGATGGTGTTGTACAAGTTTGGAAGTGAGTACAAGTTTCTTAAGTTTTGTGTGAGAAAAGAGGAAGGAATAAGTGAAGTTTAGAAGAGGAGGGCAGTCACACTTTCCCAAATAGATGACGGTCTCAGTCATGTTTTTTAGAATGTGAAAATGGTTTTACTCAAATGTTCTGTTGACAGCCTGTGCAAAAGTTTCTGGAAATTTGACCAATTCTTGATAATTGTAAAAATAATTCTTCCTAGCGAAGAATTTACTTCCAGGATGATAGCATTCTTTAGAAAAACTCAATCTGTAAATACTGTAACATTATATAAACTCCCCTCCAGGATTTGGACACAGAAGAGCAGAAATCATCTAACAGTCTGAATTGCTTTTCCACTACTGAGCAAGTAAGTTCTACTGAAGAAGATGAATCTTCAAATATAAGAAAGAAGACTAAAATGGACACAAAACCACGAAACAGTCTAACAGCCAAAGAATCGGTTTCTACAGACAGTATAAATTCACATTCGTGCAAAAGTACACCAGACACTGCAGCATGTACAGATGACAGTAGAACAGCAGACACAGAGAGTGAGCCAGAAGAAGGTGAAATTACAGATTCTGAGTGTGAAACCTACAGTGAGGAAGAATTAACGAGTGAAGAAACTCATGATTCAGAAGACTCAGAAAATGAAGGTGAATTATTGTGGATTATATATGGTATTACTGTATTTTTCCAGGAGCCTGTTAAGAACAAATGACAGTTTGGATAATTTTAAAAAATATATTAAAGCGTGTGACTTGAGATACTTTCAATTAAAAAGTGCTGTATGTTACCAGGATTTCTTTTCTTTTCTTCACTTGCACAGTAGTCAGATGTAAGTAGTAGTGTTTTTATAAAAAGCTGTTTCCTAGTATAACATCCTGTGCTTCTGTAGAAACCTCAGTGATTGAATAAAATTTGGTTAGATTAAGACAGAGAAGGGAGAAAAGAAAGTCTGTTGCTAAAATAGAGATTGTAGAACAGAACTCACAATAATTCAGTGTATTAACTCTCCCAAATTAATATATAGTATTTCTGATACTGTTCATAAACTATCATGTATAATTCAATTCAAGATGAGTCCACAGTCATGAAAAGGAATGTGGAGTAGTCAGTACTGGTTGAAATGCTGTTTTGTGTGTATTCCGGTGACAACTTGTAAGAAATGGGTGTAGAGAGGAAACCTGTATACTGTTTTATACCAAAGAAAACGTTCTCCTAGGTCCTTAAGGTCCTTAAGAACTCCTCAAGAAGTGAATGATCTCTTACCAATAAAAAAAATAAAGGTAACCTGTGAAAAGCTTAATGCAACCAGTATGCAAAGGATATTCCAAATCCCAGAAAGAAATACAACCTGAATGAAGACTGTACTGTAGCCTGTGCCCTGCTCACAGTTAAATAGTTTGTTTCTTATGTTTTCATTACTTTACTTAACTACTCAGATCCTAAGTGATTAATGCCAATCAAAATGTCCTTGCTATCATCAGACTTTCAGATTAAATTTCCTTCTTTTACTATTCAGTTCTGCAGTAATGATGGAGTAATAAAAACTGAAGACAGTTTCTTTTCCCCTAGTACCTCTTAAGGTAGTGTCTTCTCATCTTATGTCTATTCCTAGCTAAGATTATTGGAGATGTTTCTGCAAATGTACAGCCAGTACAGAATTCATACATCTGTTAGAATATAATAAAATATAATGAGATAAAAAAGCATATGCATCTGTAGGCTCTGTCTATTATTTTTCTTATCTGTGTTGATGCATAGTGCTAATAACAGCTAAAAATATTTGACAAAGAAATTTTCAAATATAAAGTTCTGTATGCACTAGGTCTGTAATGTGAACAAAAAGGTATTGCCTTTTCTCAAAGTAAATTTTATCCTAATATATTACAATTAATGATCCATACATTTATAATATACTAGTAAATTCTGTGAATGTATTTATATTTTATTGCTATAAAGGGTAGTGCACATGTAAATAAGCAGCATTAGGAAAACGTCTGTAACACCTTGGTGTGCAGTCAGAAAGCCTTTGAAACAGTAATGTCATCAAAGTTTTCTTTCATATGCAGTTGTGCATTTCTTTTTATGAAAGTTGCATATTATTCAGCCAAGTAATGGCTGAATGTATATCAGTTTTTTGAAAACTGCGGACTGTGGGGGTAAAACTGTAATTTATTGATAATAATGGTGGTGGTTTTTTCTATATAATTATAGATGAAGAAAAGATATGGCCTCCTTGTATCAGAGTAATTGTAATAAGATCACCAGTTCTACAGACTGGATCACTTTATATTATCACAGCTGTGAAACCTGCTACAATTGGAAGGTAAAACCAAATGAAATATTCTATATATATCTAAAACTACCTTGCTTTGAAAGCTATGGAAAGCACTTTGGATTGCTTGTCCTTACTCTTCATGCTTGTCTTCCTAGCCTGCAGCAGTTGTGAGGTACTGTGAGTTAGGTTAGTCCACAATAAGAGGTTCAAATCAGGTTATGTAACAGCATGTTGCTGTGATAATGTAACAGCATACATAGCTAATGCAGCTCAGCAGCCCTCAAAATTTGTTAGTGATAACTTGATCTTGTATCAGAGCCCTAGTGGCAGCATAGCTGCAAGTCCTTCTTTGAAAACTTGTTTTTTAGAAAGTAAGTAAACTTTGTTCTTGGCAACTAAAGTAACTTTTTCAGAAAGGGAAGAACACCCTTCAGAAATTCAGGATCACAAGGAAGCATATCGCAGACTTCCTCACACATTGACATTTCAGTAGGGTTTGTTCATTGGTTTTAGATAATAAGTTGGGGGTTGTACTAGACTGTATGCATTCTTACAGTTCTAAATCTGATTGGTTCATTGTAGAGGATGAATTTAATGATGACTTAATGTTTTCATCCAAGCTTACTGAAAACTTCGCCCCTGAAAAGCTGCTTCTATCTAACAGTAATAGATGTGTTTTGATTTGCTCTTAGAGCTGGGGTTTTCTATGTACATTTATGTGAAGATCAACACAAGACAGTTCTACTTGGAATTAGCATATAGGTCCTTTGCTAGCTGCATTGCTTCTTCATCGCTTAAGGATAAGAATGTAATACACAAATCCCTTCGTCCAACTGTAATGTTTTTAACAAAAAAACCAAAACAAACCAAAAAACACCCTGTACAGATCACTTTTTCTGTGCTTGTATTACCTGCCTAATGCTATCAAGAATTCAACTTCAGCATTGAAGACTGATGCCAAGATGCACTGAAGAGCCTGAAGGATGCAGAGTTCAGACTGTTATTTACAGGCATTGCATGAGTATAAAAGTTTAGGTAGAAATGTCAGGTTTATAGATAAGAATTTAATGGTACTGTTTTATCATTTATACATTGTCTACTTCGTATAGTGTATAAAGATGGGAGAAGGGACCTTTTGTTTTGTATCTGTAAAGATTCCTAATAGCTTACAAGAGAAACATGATATTAAGGTTTCAACTAAAATACACCTTTTGTAAGCCACTTATAGACCTATTTCTACTTCATTGTCATTTATATATTAACTTGCTTTTACAGAGAAAAAGATGTTGGACATACACTTCAGATTCCTGAAGTTGGAGTCAGTAAGGTAACTCTTGTTTATGTCTGCTGAAAGGTAGATCAGCAGACATAAATGTATGAATGAAGCTTTAGGTTTTATAGCTTTAAATTTGGAAAATCATGTTAATTTTTTGGAAGAACTTTCAGAATAAGATGTGGGTTTAGCCACATTTGAATTTAGAAAAAGGAAAAAACTAGTTTTTTACTGAATGGGAACTTAAACAACAGTGTGTTTTCAAAGTCTAGAAAAGCTAAGTACTTTTTTTAAAGGGGAGTTTTACTAATTTACATCGTAATGCACAGTAAAAAAACTGTATTTTGAATCTTTAATTTCATAGTTATTGAACTTGAGGAAAACTTACTACTCTGTTAAGTACTTAACGGTATATAAAATCCTGATGTCAGCTAGTAAGAATCTTGTCACAAAGTAATGCAATCCTCACTGTTATGCTCAGAGCAAAAGGGTTTATTTTATTTTTCATCAAGGCAACCGTATAAATGTGATGTACAGGGAGTTTGAAAAATTAACAGAATGCCTTTCAATGGTAGATTGAATGGAAATTTTTTGTTCTGGTTTAGAAAGATTAAGGATAAATTTTGTGCTCTGTTTTGCTAAATACTTTAGCGCAGACCCTAAATGCAGCACTCTTAATAAAAGAAAAATGTAGATTGATAAAGACATGTCATCCAAACAAAAAGTTTGCTAAAAACATCTCTAAATGCAAGTGTCTCATGAAACACGCTTTACTATGTCTGTTTCAGATTATAGTTCTGATTAATCAGCCATGTACCATATTTCATACTAAATAATTTCCAGAGTAATTTCCTGCTACTAATGACTTTTTGAGGCATGTATTTGAAACTGGGTGAATAAAGAAGTCAAAAGGCTTTTATTTTTCTGTAATGTTACCATTTTAGTACTTCACGGGTACTGACAGTTTAATAAGAAGTTACTTCACTTTTCAGGTAAGGAGTGAAAGGCAGAAACATAAATGACATATCTGCAGGAAAAAAAAGTTATGTACCAGTTTGTTTTCCTCACTATTCATAGTTTATAGCTGTGGACAACTTTGGCATTTGCTTTTCTTGAGTGGAAAGTGAGAATTAAAAAAATGCTACACCCTGCAGATTTAGCCTCTTTAGAAGAAGTTTGGGTTAGTTCTGTTCAATAGAACAGAGGTAGAAATTAAACTATTGAATTAACAGGTGGTCTCCATCATTGCAGAAGTATTCCTGTTGGAAATGCTAACCAGTCTTCAGAATATTTTTTTTTTTAACCGAATGTAACAACTGCTGTTGCTCAGAGAAGAGAACAGATTTGGTTTTAAATTAATACTTTTCTTCTCAGATTGACTCATGACTTTTTTATTCTACTATTGCAAAAGGGATATTCGCTTGTCGTATTTGAAACAGTCGCCTTTTTAGACTTACTGCTGTTACTGGAAGCCTTAGTAGGTTGGAAAATTTGGTACTTTGGTTTGTTCAGTGGCCTTTTTTGGAGGTAGTGTATATCTTTGTGAGTTTGGCCAGGAGTTGTGTCTTCTGTGTTCTGTGTGGGCATGGGAACAATACTGATAAAGAGCGGTAACAACAGCACAAACAAAGCCATAAATAGATTGTTAGTCTCAATATCAGAAAAGAAATAAAAAAAACAGCAAATGATGGCTAGTCATTGTGTCCTGATTATTAAGATGCAGGTGAAGGTGAATTATGTGAATGCTACAAAAGCATGGCATTTAGCGAGGTATTTCAGATATGAAAGACCAAGTAACCTAAAGCAGTAGAACGAGACCAGATTTTTTTTTTTAATTGAGAGTGTTGTAACTTACCTTAAAAGCAAAAAGCCTGTTATTTATACAAACAGTTAAAAATGCTGTATTACTGAATCTCACAGTTCTTTAAATAAAGCATAGTTCCCACTCTAGAAGTATATAGTTTTTCTGTATTGAATCAGTTTATGGTCAAAAAGGTTACATTATTAATAGTATACTTTAGCTCGTGGTGTTGTGGCCCATTGAGTTACATTTCACTTGGATGAAATCATAAGGTATGGAATACTCTATTAACTTAGAGTACCAAAGCACTCATTTTAAAGGTCTCAAAATATATTCCAAAAACTTACATTTAAGTAGCCTTTAAATTGTGAAGTATTTGCTTAACAAGAACATTTAACCTAAGCTTCTATTTATCAGTTTCATGCAGAAGTATATTTTGACCATGATTTGCAAAATTATGTTCTGGTGGATCAAGGCAGTCAGAATGGAACAGTTGTTAATGGAAATCAGATTCTCCAGGTGAGTACCTATTGTTTTAAGGCTCTGTACACTGCAGAAAACTGTAGTCTTGTCATTTTAAATGTGTTATGGCAAATCACTAACAATGCCATTGTATGGCTTCTTTCATACATTAATGTCTGCCTTGGTTCCCTTCTGGTTTTAGGGCCACTTACAGCACATAATGTTTGGTTATACTAAGAAAAATCCACTGTGTTCGCAGTTGCTAGAGTGAAATCCCTACTGTAGTTAAATACTTGCCTGCATTTGTGAGACCAGGCTGAATTACTGAACTGTAAGCAGCATGCATGAAATAGAGTTTGTGTCCTTCATGAGTAACTGACATGGCTGCCAAAACTTTCTTTTGCTGTAGCCTAAAACTATATGTGATCCCTACATCTTGGAACATGGAGATGAAGTGAAGATTGGTGAAACTGTGCTTTCTTTTCATATACATCCCGGCAGTGATACTTGTGATGGATGTGAACCAGGACAAGTCAGAGCACATCTTCGCCTGGACAGGAAAAAGGAATCCTCTGGTTAGTCAGGTTATCACAGGAGATGTTTATAATTATGGCTTTATTATAGCTGTTTATAATATAAACATAGTAATTAGTTTTCTTACAGTTTTCTTGTCAACTGGAAATAGTTGTACATGATGTATTTTCTTCTTGGTATGTGTGTCTGTAATAATGTTAGAACAAAAATTCTCACACTTGTCATGTTTCAAAACATTGTTACACTAGTAATTAGAAACTCAATCCTGTGTTCTTCCTTTTAGTTTGCCCAGCACTTAGCAAAGAAGAGAGAGAGTTAGTCAGAAGAAAAGCATTAAAACAAATACGGGTAAAATATGGTTTACAGGTGAGTTTAGAGTAGGAAGTTCATTAAGGTTTTTAATCTTCTGGTTTCTATTTTTGTAATGCTTTGTGATTCCTATTTTAAGTTTTAAGAGAAGTTTTCAAATGTGCTCAAACTTGAGCCTGGTAGTTTAACTCAAGCTTGTCTTTTGTACCCTAAATAATAATTCTTAACAAACCTGTACTGAGAGAGATGATTGTAAGGGGGCATGAAAATTCTGTTTAAAGTTTGGGAAAAGAAGGTCTTTCCAATGGGTACAAGATTCTTAATCCTTTTGAGGTTAAGATTTTGCAAGACATTTTTATTTTTATTTCTGCAGATTAAGTTTTCACTGAATTGCAGTGCTATCTTTTATTTGGAAAGGAAAAATAATGAGCAACTGAAAAAAATGGTGGAAGGAATTTTTTTCAAGTTTTTAAGTCCATAGAAGAATGCCAGTGTGAACATACAGGCAATATAGTATATATGTATTCAAGTTACTTCTGTTTTAGATATAACTTTAACTATGGGGTTACGTCCAGCTTGATATGAAGAGATTGATTCTTCATACCAAGAGAAGATTCAAGAGAACCTGTTATTTTATTTACAGCTTCTGCGAAATTATTGAAATTGGCAATATTACATCATTATGTGATGATGGCAATAATATAGTTTACAGGGTATGGCTGTAAACTAAGTGAGGACTGTAGTTTTTTGTTATAAGGTTTGGAATTAATGAAGTAGGCTGAAGCTGCCTTGCTTTGGAGGGAAGAAGTGCAGAATTTAAAGCCCACTTTCTTTGTCTTGATGGAATTTAATCTGCTTGTAAAGAACACAGAGTATGAAGACAACAAAGCAGTGAAGAATCCAAAGTACAAAGACAGAGCAGGAAAACGCAGAGAGACTGTTGGAAGTGAAGGAACCTTCCAGAGAGATGACAGTTCAGCTTCCGTTCATATGTAAGTTGGAACGGCAGGGGAGGTATTTCTTGTGAATCTTAAAAAAAATATGATAAAGTATCAGTTTGTTACTAGCATATAGTTTTTTTAGATTACAAATTACCTGTATATAATGTGTTAGGCGAGCTAGAAAATTGTAAGCTATTCATACATCCCATTTCACATAGTCTTTTTCTTAACTCATCACTTTCCATGCAGAATTCAACTGGGCAGTAAGGATGCTTAGATCACTTCCTTCTCAACTCAAAAAATCAAAGACCCAGCTGCACTACTGACATTTTCTGTAGTGTCTATTTTTCAAGAGGCTCAATTTTTATTTTTCCTATTCAGTCCCAGTAATAGTACATGTGCAGATTTTTCACCTGCAGTTTCTTTCACTGTCAATATCCAGCCTGTCATAAAACATGTACATACATCTTGATACTTAATATAATGTTCCTCTTCAATTATTCCTTTGCTTCTGTAGTTGTAGTTGGGGTGGTTTTCTTAAGAAACATGACCTTCTAGATGCTGGTAAATTAGTAAAAGGAAGTGTGAGACAATGAAATAAATGCATTAGGATGACTTGGCACAGATACTGCCTTTTCCCTAGTGCAGTCCATTCCCACCCACCCATGATGTAGCTTTTAGCTCATAAAGCAAGCAAATAGTTCAGAAGCAGTTTTAAGAAAGTTGATAGTCACCAGATGCTTGGAATGGCTTTGTTAACCAAAGATACTCTTGGAGGAACTTGTAAAAGGTAGCATTAGGGTCTTCTGGATAGCTCTTGATGGAAGTAGGAGCAGCACAGTATTTGATTTGTGGTTTCCAGAGCAGCATATGCACACACATTTCTGTTGTTCAGTATTTGAGGGCATACTCTTTATATGAACTCTTGGTTATCAGTTACCTTAAATTTTCTTCCAAGTGAAATCAGCAACAGCAACAAAGGACATAAAATGTTGGAGAAGATGGGATGGAGGAAGGGGGAAGGCCTGGGAAAGGATGGTGGTGGTATGAAGAATCCGGTAGGTCTTTCTGGTTTTCACTTGAAACAAAACTAATAATTTATTTGCAGTGAAAAATATCTAATTGTATGCCACTATTCACTTGAAACATTTCAAACTCCTGGTTAGGAAGGAATAATGTCAGTCAGACTAATCTCAAATAATTTTTTTATTGACTAATGAGGTATTTTGAAATTCTTCAATAGCGTTGTCCCTTCAGTAGAAAATGCCAGAAATGTCTGTGTTTGTTAGGAAACTGCAAAGGAGGACAGACAGCTTCTAGCCATTGAATTAATAACGTCATATTTGAATACAATAGTCTGGAGGAAGATTGAAATCATTTAAGTTATGTGAATTCCAGATGAGCTTAGGGTAGAGTTCTTCACTTTCTCTGAGGCTGCTGTAGCACAAAAATCAGAGGATGGGTCAGAGGAGAGGAAAAGCTAGCTGACATCACTGTAGCCACCAAGTTGCAGGCCTCTGTGGCAGGCATGTTAGCCCCATTTTTGTCACCAGATATGTGTTGCTTTTGGTGCTGCTCAGAGCCACAGCATGCCCTGTACTGTCAAACTAGCCAGCACAGGATCATATGCTGCTCACTCAGGTGTATTTCACAGTAATGTTAGGGGCAGGTGACATCTATCAGCACTCCAAATCACGGTTCTAGAGGTGGTGATTTGACACATCATTTCCGTGGTACTGTTCATGTATGATCTAGGTGTATTAGAACCTGAAAGAGAAGTGCTTGGGAGTGGGGGGTGGAATTTGTATTAAAAAAATATGAAGTATTTAGAATACCTAACTTGCAGTTACAAAACATTTAATGCATTTGACAGATCCAACTTGAGTTACATCAGAAGCATGCAGGTTTCGGTACGAGGAGACCAGTCTCAATTGAAGATGTTCAACTCATCCAGAGCAAGAATAAAAAGAACTGGGACAAAGCAAGAGAGAGGTTTGCTGAAAACTTCCAAGACCCGAAATCACAAGGGGATACACCTAAGAATACATCTTGGGTTAGAGGGACTGTAGAGTAAAGTATCTAGTCCCTCAGAAAGGTAATTCCTGAGTGTAAATAGTTGGGAGAGAATTTATTTTTATTCTTTTTGCTTTTGCTAAAGCAGGAGTTTGGTTATATGTAAAATACAGTTGTGGAAAAATTTATTCAAGATTAACTCTGTTATGTTAATTGGTTTTCTGTAGTCTTCATGCTTTTATAAAAACACATTTTTAATAAGCAATGGAGTTTTGTGGGATATTCAAATTTAAGTACTTGAAAGTGATTCTCATCACAAGCAGGAATCTTCCATCATGTTTTTAAACTTCACAAAAATTTACACAAAACATCTGTTAAATATGATACTTTTAACATTTGAACAGTGGTTTAAAAGCAAGCTGAAACAACTGAAAAAAATTCCCCAGGCCCATACTAACAAAGTCTTATATTGCTGTTTCTTCATGATTGTCATGAAATGCTCAGGAAGAGGTACACCAGTCTTAAATTCATACAGTTCAGTACTAATTACATGTCTCAGCTTACCTTAAGCTGAGGAAAAGGGGGAAAAAGCTTGTTTTTAAATGATTCAACAGTACTGTTCAAAAATATTGTACTCAATGAAATAAACTACCAGCATTAGTGAAGAAAGCAATGTTCAGAGACAGCTTGTAGTAAAATTTTCTTCTGTGAAGAACTTGTTTGACATTTGTTCAGTAAATCTGTATCATGCCTTTAAACGAAGACGTATGTTTAGAGAACTGCTGTCTGTATTTATTAACTTCTTTTTCTGATACATCCATTGCTGGCAATGGAGTTTATGCCAGAAAAAACCCCAACACAATGGATTTTTGGTGGGAAGGGATTGCCAAACTGAAGCCAAAAGACTGGTATTTATTAAATGTTCCTAAACACAATAAACCAGTGTCAATTTAAGAAGTGTGCTTCTTGATAGTTTCTTGTGTGTATATTGGACAGGAGTGCTCTTCTAACGTGAGTAGAACTTAATCCCACTTTGGTCAAAAGTTCCGATACTTGTTCAAATAAAGGAAACTTGGTAGTCCCACTATCTTACTGGATCACAGAGGCAACTCTCAAGCACTGTGGAGTAAACCCAGGACAAGTTACCAGCCATTTATCTTTAAGCTATACACAAACAGTATAAAGCAAAAGCTCCAAACTGTTATTTAAATCATTAAAGCACACGAGTTTACAACCAGAACTTCTGCACTACAAAGCTGAAAATACAGTTATCCACACTCAATGCCTGCAGCACTATTAATTAATATTAGGTCAGTATTTGCATTTGTAAGCAGTTAATTTTCTACTGATTTAGTGATAGTATTTCCTGATAGTATTATTGCTGTTGCAATAATATAAAAGTATTGCTCTATTATGTACTTTCCTGTTGTATTCCTTTTTACTGACAACTTCACGTTTTCAGAGGCTACTTTTTTCTGTGAAAAAATGTTGTTGTGTATGTTTTGTTCTGTACTTGTTAAGTTTTAGTTCACCATGTATATAAAAAGGCTCTCCTGTAGTAGGAGAAAGAAAGACCCTGTATGCTAAAAGAAAAGTTTTTGCTGGGTTTTTTTTTTATTTGACCTCCGTAGTCTTCTCAGCAAATCAAACTATAAATCTTAATTTGAAGTGAGTAGGAACCTTAACCTTGCGCAGTTATTCAAGTGTTACAGCTCTAAGAGAAGTGAATCAATAAGTTTGCATTTCATAAATTTTTTTAAGTAAGACATCATTTGCCTTCTGTGAGAGGCATGGTCTCATGCAGTCAAGGACTGACTGCTTTCAGTTCTGCAGCTTCCTCTGTCAGCAGTTCCATATGAAGAGCTGAGGCATAGTCTTGGTTCAGTGTTGCTATGATAAATTCCTTTCTCTCCTGCTGCTGCCTAGGAAAGTGGAAAAAGCAGTGCCATTAATACACAGATTGTTAACAAAACAACTGAAAATTTTACTAACCGTAATCAATGACTTGTTGCCTTTACTGAGTAGGAAGACATGTATTGAGCTAAACAGGGTTTTTCATCTCTTACCTTAGTGACCTCTTAGAAAGTTTTAATTATAAACGAGCGAGGTGAAAGCTACCAGTGTTGTGCACAAGCCTTATGTGCAAATGCAGTACTGCTTTCCCTCATGTCAGGAGGGGAACATGAGTTGCCATTGCACTATTGTAATTTTGGAGGCTATAACCAGTAAAATACAGCACGAAGTTTAGCTGTCTTACCTTCTCAGTCCTCCAACTGTCCTGTTGTTTTTTCTAACTTATGATACTTAGACTTGCTTTTTGATACATCCAAAGTCAAAAGTTTTAGCAGTTTGCTTTATATATAAATATTACTGATGTATATAATCTTAAAGTTCTGAAGTTTATATAAACAGTTTCCTGTAGTCCTAACAGTCAATTTTGCCAACTTACCAAATATTTTTCTGAAATTTAAAGTAAACTAAGAAGAGTAGGCACATTCTTATCTTAAGTGCTGAACAATCCAGCTGGCTCATAAAAACAGGGAGCACAGTCATTGTTCTATGACAACCACTGGACTAAACGTATGCCAGTGGGGGCGCTGAACTATATACATGGGAACTACTACTACAAAACATACTGTACATGAAACTGGAGTTTGTCTGAGCAAGAACAGGCCCTTTGCTGCTGTAGGTGGTTTTAAGAAGGGTACCCGACTGGGGCTTTCTGCCAACTAGTAACAAATCCAGAGCAGCAGGAAGAGATGACAAAACCAGAATCCTGTTAGGAACAAGAGGTACTGAAAGGTGCTGACCAACGGACTTTCTAAGTGCCGTGACCACTGAATGTGGGGGTTTCTTCTCATCAAGTTTCTGCTTTATAAACGAGTTTCATCTGCGTCTTACTTTAATCCAACACTGCTTCTCTGTTGATGCACATACCTGCGTGCTGCTTTCTGTAGCACTGATCCTGGTACAGCCCTTCAGCGCATCAGGGCACCATCCTCTCCCGTCCGCCCGCGTTCAAGTGTCTCGGTGTCATTTCAGGGCTGCAAACAGGGCGCACGCTGCCTCTTCTGCTGCTCCTCGAGCTCCGTGGTTAATAAAGCGGGGAAGACACGCGGATTACGGCCCGGCTCCCTGCGCTACACCGGGCAGCCGAGCCCGCTGCCGCTCCCCGGCCTCGGCCCGACCGCCGCCATCTTGTCTCGTCTCACGGCGCAGGGGCGGTGAGGGAGGAGTGGGGCCCGCGCAGCCCGGCACCGCCTCCCCCGGGCCGCCCCGCCGTGCCCTCGGCTCGCGGGCTCGAAGAAGGCACAGGATGGGCGAGTGGCCCGGAGGTGGCCGCGGATGTAGTTACGCTGCAGCTCAGGAGGAGCGGAAGAAGTAGGCAGTCCATCAGTGACCAGAGGCTCAGCAGACACAAAAGAAAACGGGACCCATAGATACTAGCTTACAAATACACCCACATGACTTTTTAACGTTTAGGGTCAGAAATGATCCTAAGAATGAACGAGTGGAGTCTCGGGAGTAACGCCGAGAAAGGCATACCAGGAGGAGCCGGCCCAGCAGTAGCCTCCGAGGACCTCATCCCACGAAGAGCTGACTCCTTCTAATCTGTTGGAAATGCCTTACAGCCCCTACTCCTCAGCCTCCCCCTGCTCTCCCTTCCTTTTTACCCCCTTCCTCTGCACTCCCTTTTCTATCCAAGGACAATGGTGGACTGGTGTTCGTTGTCTTGGCAGTCTTCAGTCAAGCCTGGTTGCTTCTGCAAACACTGCTTTGGCCAACCCTCAACTGCTGGACTTTGTGAGATTAAAAAGCCTGCACAGACTGTCAACCTAGATTTTGTAGCACCTTGGGTCTTGTGCTAACATCTGTGCATCTTCAATATTTTCCCCTACAGTTCTTCACCTTATTTGTCCTTTTTTGTTTCCCCTGGCTAAATTTTCTTCTTTTAGATCATCAGATTTTTCATTTACCCACTTTATACCCATCAAAAAGCGAACAAACAAAGTGCTAGTTAAGTAAAACTGTGATGTGTATCTGAGTTACCACACTGCTCACTGGTTGTTGTTGTTGTTTTGGTTTTGTTTGTTTGTTTTATCAGCCTTTTATCCTTTTTATTCAGTCCATACCACCAGTAGGCAAGAATAGTCATAAGTGCCCAGTGATGTTGAATAAGGCTTATTGTGAATCAAAATTATAGAATTTCAGTTCTGTAACTTCCTTGGCAAATCCCTAATATTTCTGTTTGATTCTTTAGCTACACAATGGAAATAATAATATTTATTTTCTCTCTCTGTTTAGAAATATTCAAAAAGCAACTAGCTCTATGTGGCCCTGCTTGAGCAGGGTACTGGACAGGATGAGTTCAAGAGGTTCTTTACAACCTCAGCTGCTCTGCAACCATAGAAGGTTGAAGAACTGATTGACATTTGGATGTTACAGGGATGGAGGCCATAGGCACATCTAGGCAGGCAGGCAGAAGTCTTGAACTCACAATAGCAAGAAAACCAACGAAAAGCCCAAGAACAGTGGGCAGTTTAAGACTTGCCAGCAAGGAAAAATCTGCTGTCCAAATCCACTCTACCCTCCACCAGCTATCCTTGAGGCTGGGAATCATGACCCAACAGAGGTTAAGTTGCAAGGAAAACTCAAAGCATGTGATGAGTCTGAATGGTAAATATTAAACAGGAGTTTTGGAAACTTGGCATGGTGGCAATCTTACAAGTCCAGCATTTCTCTGTGGAGCATAAAAAAGAAACAATAGGTTAAAAAGAAAAGTGATACAGTCAGTAAGTGGCACAGCAGTGGACCATTTTGGCTTTTTGACATCTTGTCACATGATTTTTAAAGAGGTATTCTCTGTTGTACAAAGTCCTGATGTCCCCAAATTCTTGCTCAGAAACAGGTCTGCATGCAACATAGGCAGTTGCTTAGTGTGTTGTAGGTGCACTGATCCTCCACAAAGACAGTGGCAGGGAAAACTCTGAGGTGTATCTGAGGTATGTTTCCCAGCATTTTAGAGCTTGTTTAAAGTGCTTGACAAGAAGGAGACTGCAACTGGAATGTTCTTAAAAAGAATGATTTTTTTTTTTTTTTTTTTTGCACAGTAGCTCCATTTTTCATTTTGCCATATAAATGCATCATTTGAGACGTACCTTTATACAGTAAAGACTCGACGCAGTACCCGTGAGGAGGAAAATCACAAGTTCCTTAAAATAGCTTTATCCACTGCATGTCTTTAGTGTCAGACTTGGGAGATATTTAAAGAAGGATATATTTTCTGGTGAATTTGCAATATGTGGGGCTTTATTACAAACTGAGAGGTTCTCTGTATGTTTTGACTTGATAGAGAAGTACATGTGAAAGATGACTGTGAGTTTCAGCTTTATCTTCTTTCCCATGTCTGTACATGTGACACCCTGCAGAGACCCTGCCACTGGGATGATGGTTGAAATCCACACCTTGCTTGTTTGAATGCCCGTTTACATTGAATTTTGCCATAGCCAGAGCTGAGTGAAAACTGAGCCTGGTTTTAAGCATGTAATCTTCACACTTTGAAAGTGCAAACAAGCCGCCACTTGTTCTTCCTCAGGCCTTCTGCAAAAACCAAGGTTAGCTGGTTCCTCCAAAACTGTTTATTTGGAGTTATTCAAGTGGTGGTGGAACATTGCAAAAATGTTTCAACAACTGTCTACAACATGTGACACGATACTCATCTCTTTCCTCACTGTCCTGTGACTTGCATTCAGTAAAGTATTTTCTTTCCCCTAGATACTGCTGACACCTGGCTGTGGTAATATGCCAATTCCCAATATCCACCATTAAAACTAATGAACTGTTGAAGCCTAGATAAATCACTTTAGTCATTACAAATAAAGATTAAAAAGGCTTAACTGAGTGTAAGGCTCATTTCTAAAATGCTGCAGTGGATGCATTATCAGGAGACCTTTAAGTTGAGATCTCAGTACATTTCAAAGGCCTCCTGTAGCAGCTGGCAGGATTATTAATAGCTGTCACAACTGATTTAGGTAGAGTGTGTTTTCTTGGGGGATTTTAACTAATGAGTCATGTCATTTGGTTCACCATAGTTTTTATTTGTTTTTCTTTGAAAGAAAGAAGTTTCTGTTATTGAGATGTGCATATAGACAGTGTGCCTCAGTTTGACAGCTTGAAGGAGCAGCCTACAAATTTTGGAATGTAAGGGTAGGAGTCTCAACTGGGATGTCACCATGACTTCAGTGAGTGCATGTGGCCTCTGATGCTCATAGGCCAGTGTTACTAAATAGATAATGGCATGGGTGTTGGTACAGAAGTCTACACACATATACACGTTCCCTAACTCTTCAAGCTGGAGGAGAAATTAAAATGGTTGTGTCAGATTTTACAGGAACAACATGATCCCAAACTGAGAAATGTGTTCCTCCTTCACAGCACCATCCTTCTGCCAAACTATATGTGTGGCACTGCAGCAAGTAGCCAAGGAAGATCTTTCTATTGTCATTGATTTAGAAGCCCCACTATGTTTGCTCACCTAAACTAAGCATTTACCCACTGTTTGTATTCAGCATTTCAGGTGACAGCTGCACTAATAGTTGGCATAATCATAGTACCAGCCAAATTGCAGCAATGTTACAGGTGTCAGGACACTTGCTTAATTTCAAAACACTGCATATTTCAGATTGTGTATTTTTCATTTGAATAATTATGTGTTTTATATTCTTTTACATACTGTTAAAAATAGTCTAGAGCCTTGAAATACCTAACTCTTGTCATCAGCTGCAGTGCCACAATTATTTTTTTACTGGCTTCAGTTGGAATGACTCAATCATCTGACAGTTAGCAATGATTTTACGAAGTATATTTTGGAATCCACAAGGCTTATTTAGAGTAAAAAATCATTTTCTTCAAAGTGAAGATAGCAGTCTTCACTTTAAGCTTTCCCAGCTACTTGCCACTTTTAAGTTTCTCCCAATGTTATAAGAACGGGATATTATTTCATTGATGCTTGTATCTGTTTGGTTTTGGTTTTTGGCATTTTTTATGATGACTCCTCTTTGAGTTTAATGCTATGGAATTTATGGTAGCATTAAGAAGAAAAGAAATAGGTCCCTAGCCCTAGATTCCCAGAATGGGATATAGTAACCAAGACCAAAACGTGGCTGAGCACACTGCTACATCACATACAAAATCAACATGAAGAGTATGTTGTTAACATTACAATAAGGCTCTCAAGTGCTGTAGAAGTGCAAGAACTATAGTTTCCAGTTGTTGAATGCTTAACTGCGTGATGCTAATGGTGTTGTTTCAATGAAGTTTTCATGCTTCATGATTTAATGTATCATAATATTCTCGTACCCTCTTTATTTCTAGAGTCCCTAGCTTTTCCCTCCCTTCACAGGAGGGAATGTCCTCAGCTAGCAAGCAACTGGATCAGATTCTTTGTCTTCACTTTTCCCACTCACAACTCCTATTCACATCTTCTGGCCTGCATCAAAACTCCCATGCTGTTCCTTGGACCAGCCCTTTTCATGACTGGGATTCCCATGCTATTTGCACTGCACCACCCTTGCTACAGCAATCCAGTTACAACTAGTGCGTGAACATGAGGCTGAAGAAGCTGCAGCAAGTGGTGACAACATTTGGGTTGAAGGGACCTTAAAGATCTTCAAATGCCTAGTTCCAATGCCTCTGCCATAGGCAAAGACACATTCCACTAGACTAGGTTGCTTAAAGCCCCATCCAACCTGGCCTTGAACACTTCCAGGGATGGGGCATCCACAGCTTCCCTTCACAACCTATGCCAGTGCCTCGCCACCCTCACAGTAAAAAATTTTCTTTCTTATATCTGGTATAAACCTACCCTCTTTCAGTTCAAAGCCATTCCCCCTTGTCCTGTCACTATACTCCCTGATTAAAAAAAACTCCCTATCTCTCCTGGAGGCCCCCATTAGGAACTGGAAGGTATATCCACAGCCTTCTCTTCTCCAGGCTGAACAACCCCAGCTCTCTCATCTTTTCCACATGGGAGAGGTGCTGCAGCCCTCTGGTTATCTCTGTGCCCTCCTCTGGCCCTCCTCCAACAGGTTCATGTCTTTCTTATGCTGGGGCCCGTCCAGCGTGTCAACCACCCCACAAAGCTTGGTGTCATCAGCCAGCTTGCTGATGATGCACCTGATCCTACTGTCCATGTCCCTGACAAAGATGTTAAATAATACTGGTCCTAATACAGACCCCTGAGGGGCACCACTCCTCACTCCTCTCCACATGGACACTGAGCCATTGACCACAACTCTTTCATTGGGACCATTCAGT